TCATTGTTTGGGGATTGTGGTCGCGTCTGTTCCGTACGACCCCCCCCCCTCTAGGGGTGGCTTCATACGACCCCCTTCCCTGTTCTCCCCTCCCTGTCGAGCGGACGGGGGAGCTGTATAGCACATATAAAATAAGGAAAACCAAAACCTCCACAACCGGAAGAGTATGCAGAGGCAACGACCCGTTCCCCTTATTGCGTCCGTAAGACAAGAAAAATCAACTATCAAAAAAGTTTTCCCAGGCCGACTACGACTCCCCTCCCCCAGCCACCGACCAAATACCCCCACACCCCCTGCTGGGCAACTATGATGCATCCTGAGGCTACCACTGTCACTACGCTGGTGTAAGAATTGTGAGGAGTATCTCAGAGTAGTGGTACGACTTCTGAGTAATCTAGGTTCCCCGGTGCTGAATGGCATGTATAGCATCTGATCTATTACAAAGTTGTCTTCACCAAGTTCTCTTCGCAGTAGTGGCCCATTCAAAAAACTAATTGACTCAGACATTAAACGAGAAACGGGACTGGTTTCGCACATGAAATCGGTGCAACTAGTAATTGTCTTCTAACGGGAGATGAAATGTCGCTGATTAATGATGTTTGCCCTAGGAAGTCTCTTGGCTGACACCGCTCAGTGAACATTCAAATGATACAGCAAAACCAGTTTCAAATCTTGTTAGTACCCGTTCGCTAAAATTACTGAATTTAAAGCCTCCAGTATCCTGTAGACCGCAAAAGGGCTCACCTTTCTCTGGAACAACGGTCGTTGATGCAGCCTGATTATCACAGGATACACAGGTGATTTGAAGAGGTTCGTTTTCAGGAATGGTGGTCTTATAGTGTCGACTGGACACATCACAAGTGGAATGATCCACAACGTCTTCAGTATGCGGCGAAAATCGGCACAATTTATCTGACGGCTTGTAGAAGGCAAACTGGAAAGTTCACATCAGTCAGGAATGCTGAGAATGAGCCAACGTATGACTTACTCCACATCTGAGGTCAAAGCAGAGCTGTGCGCACTCATCACCGGATGATACGGTGGTCTCATTCAATAGCAAATCAACTGTTTCTCGGTCAATATTAGTTGTGTACAAGAACTTCAAACTTCCGGAACACTCTGTAACCAATAGAATTAGCAAAGAGAAACTTGTCCGCTGCCAGCAGTGCTCACCTCGTTGTGGAACAGTTACATGTGGTTCTGAGGTTGGTTGACCGGTTGTAGGTGAGCCTGAAGTAGTATGAGAACTTGTTACAGTACTATTACAGTCATACACCTATTAAAGAGGCGGGCAGCCGGATATTGGACACACTACTAATTCAGCAAAGCAAAGAAAACGGGTTTCCAGTGAATTCAATTATCTGTTCCACTTCCAAAAAATGTGCTCAAAGGCAAGTGGCACGATAAAACCCCGAGACATGTATGATTACTACCTCTACCAGAAAAGTTTTCCGCGCCCCTGAGCAGACGCCTTTCCCATGGAAAATACCCCTATACTAGTGTCCTGTGGGGCTGCAACATACCAACCTGGACGCCCACCACATCTCTCCGCGCACAACTGTCCGGCGGATGCTAATGCTCGCATCGCTTTATTCGCGAATTACAAAGCGAATGAAGCGAAGAGAATGATATGAAGCGGCTGCGGTGCTGCATGGATATATGAGTACACACATGCAGCCGTATCTACCGTAGCGGTTACTGGCACGATGCCAACGGGAAACTCGTCCGAAAATGCTTTCTGAGTTGTGTAGAACAAAGGCTTTCTCGTAGGTTTTTGACCAATTTAGTTGTGTTCTCGCCATTTTCCTCCTTTTATACCATTCCTGCTATCATTCTAGACTGTGTGCCAAATTATCGTGCCTTATGCTTCTAAGTGAACTCTAACTATAGCAAACTACAGACACTATCTCATTTACTTTCATACCAAGACGGGACAAAGTAAAAAGTCCTCCGTGTTCAGCTGCCCATAAACTTTCCCATCCCCATTATTCAGGTGTGAGGAATGAGTCACACTGATTACCTTCCAGGCTCTGACGAAGGCGAGTAACTGGAAGGTTAACCAAATGAAGAGATTTTAACACCTTTCCGTGGTTGCAGTACCGCATTAAAGAAAAGTAAAAAGTGAACGAAGGGAAGAGACAAACGAATAGCAGCAGCAAGATCTACTTGATGCGGGATTTGTCGATCCCTTTCTCCCCCCCCCCCCCCTCCATCGTTCCGCTTGTAAGGAGAAAATTTGCTGGTTCAGCAAAAAACTAACGTTTAGCTCTCGAAGGACTACAGATGGAGTGGGAGGACAAAATGAGAAAGACACTATGCTCGTCTGGCGAGCCATCAAAGTTGACGTCGCTCACGATGACAAAACAAAAGGAAGACCATGGTTTGGATAGTTGGGAGGTGGAGGTCCCTTTATAGGTAATACGGAAGCCTCTACCCCTCCTTCAACTCTTGCGAGGAGTTCCACCAAGTTCTGTCCTATAACATGTGCAAACCTAGAGCAGTTGCGATATCATCAAAATCGGACCACTCATTGGAATGTCGGCCCTTGTACCGAAAGACGCCATGTTTGACTGACGGGATCGAGTTCATGATTTTTTTTCTCATGAGCTCGACCTTTCCAGTCAAATTGTCCTGCAGGAGCCCTAGGACTCTATTAGTTGGCTCGAGGGATTTGGAGGTCATAAGGGTTGGAGAGGACAGACAGGCAGGGGTGAGTGTTCACGGTATCCTCTTACCTTGTCACTCCGTGTGAAACAAGTTCCACTGATTTACGCTCAGTGAACAGCGTGTCTTTCGTCCCCTTTCTTAAAAGCCCTTCAAGATTTCGTGAAGACAGCTAGTTCAAAAGCTTTGGGACAGGTGATACCACTCTAACAAATAAAAAATGTTAAAAAATGGGTATGTAGCAAGAGTTCGTAATTCGCCGCACCAGTGGTTGTCGCGTGCGACGTCGCGCCGGCTAATAACGACGATTTTAGGTGGCATTGACGAGAATAGAAAACGTATGACCAAAAATAGACATAAGTGTCCACCATGTCCTTGTCTACATGAAATCCGATGCTCCAATCGAAAGGGTAGTGCAAATTAAGGAAACGTCGCGCCCATTGCCGCGCGCGACGAAGCGGCAATTTACGATTCTCTTGCCCGTCTCCCGGTCCAACCGACTACTCGAGATCCCCATCCCGGACAGCGCACCTGATAAAGGATGAGACTTCACCTGTCCGCATCAATGAACATGAAGATTCTTGCTGCACAGTAACTAGTTCGACTGTTACACGATACCGCCCGCATCACATGACTGGAGAGGAACAGGCTACTAATGAGATATTCTGGGCTAAAGTCATTCGAGCGTGCAGTCCAATGCCCCTTCAAGCCTGCTCACATACAAGTCCTTCAATTATCGAAGTTGCATTTTTGCCTACTAGCACAGTGGAGCTCAAAGCCCTCCATTCCGGTAATCAAACCCTGGATAAGCGCCTCCCAGGCCACTAAAGCCTTCTATTCCGGGTACAGTAAATTGGCACCAGATTTCCTAGTAGGATAAAAACAGTGACTTGTACAGCGCTAGGGCCCCTGCAAGCTATTGTACAGGCCATTACGATTCCCGATGGAAGTAGAATGCGTGCCGCATTTTGCAAAGGGATTGATCAGATCACCATTCCTACAATACCATTGGATTGAAAGAGAATAAATTCCCTGATATTCTCTTTCAATCCAATGGTATTGCAGGAATGGTCCCCCCGGCCCTCGGCCTGAAAATCTATAAGTTTCATTGATGTCTCTGGCTGAATAGTTATGTGTTTCTTGTGTGTGTCCATCTACGTGCCGGCGTCCCAGTCATTCAAAAGACAATAGGTGGGAACAGGTTGGTGTGCGTCACCACGACATACCGATAACTGTACAGTCAAGGTTATGAAGGATGCCGATACGGTTATAAGAAAGAAACTACAATTTACTAGACTCGTGTTGACCCCTACGAAGGCTATACTGAACTTTGACCGTGGTTTCGGCATCAGCAGTTATGGTACATTAATTTTGAATGACTCTCCAGTTTGGTACGACTGCTCTCTGTAAAAACCATCGTCAGTTCTCCCGCTGAAAGACTATCTTGAAAAGAACACGAGGAATGTATCTATTCACGTCGGTACTTCACCAAATTCTTGACGTTGGTTCCACCAAATTACTATATCTTACCAAATTAGTAGTAGTATCTTGCCAAGTTGGGTCGTATCTACTGCCAAGTTGGGTAGTATCTACTGGAGGCATCTTCCGTCCACTGAACACCCATCCATCCGGCGTTACACATTCTAATGCGCGTGGTGCATTCAAAAGGGTCAACTATTGGCACCATAATGAAATGCAAAGGCTCCTGGGCCTCTGTAACGCCCTGCGGAGCTAACAGATGTACATATCAGAGTACTAATCCGTTTCGAAGGCGGAGGTGATGTATTGGCTAGTGGCACGTTTACCACGCGCGCGGCCCGATGGTCGGATCCCGGATCCCGCCTGGACCAAACAAGCCTTCTACTCTCCGAAGAAGGTAGTACCCGATTTGTCCGGGAGGACGAGAACACTGACTTCGGCTGGCTCCGGCTGGCAAGTCATTGTATAGGCCGCATCGCATCGCATTCAGTAAACTCTTTACGGTTCCGAATGGAAATATAAAGCGTGGAGCATCACAAAAAGGGATTGATCAAAGGCAAAGACTTTATCTTTATCTTTTGGAGTAGTCGAGATCAGTTTGAGGGCACCAAAAGGATGGAAGGTTTGACTGGATTGGGTGCGAAACGATCTGACCCACGAAGATGGTGAGCGACATCACATAGTAATACGTTTCAGCCCAAGGAACAATTATGTTGATGCGATAATCAATTTCAGTTACTATACTTTACCAAAATACGTCCTGAATTCAGGCCAAATTTCAATTTGAAGT